AGTGTTTCCAGGTGCTGCCTATTCACCCAGGCGCCTCTTTTCCTGAAGAACCTGGGCTGGGCAGCTGACACATGGGAATCCTCCCAATCCTCCCTTTCCTCTCTCCATTTGAGGCTAGGTGCTAAAAGGTATGTTAATTAAGCTTGAGAAACCAAGTTGACGTTGTGAGATTTGAACCTGTGAAGTATGATGTAAAGTTGCCTGAATGTCTGGAAAAATAAGATTGACAGCTGTATCTTGTCTTAGTCCCCTCCTAGCTTTGTGTAAAGTACCTCCCCTAAATAAAAGAAAGGTGCAGAACGAATCCAGGTGCATTACGACTGGCAAGGTGTGCGTTATAGCATGCAGGGGGCACAGTACAGCATTGCAACCATACTGCCTGTTTAGCTAAGATGTTTACTATGCAGGATATTACGGCCTTCATGGCTGAGATGTTTGCAACGCAGGATCTGCCTGATGCCAGTCCAGCATTCACTCTGGTTTCGGAGTGTCTCTTTGTCTCTCTCTTTGTGTCTCTGTGTCTCTTTTGCTATCTCTATCGCCGCTGGATCTCCCCTCCTCGTGAACCAAACACTCGTGAACAACACAACTATGTCGAGGCAAGTCCCCGGCACTAAACTATGTATGTCCATGTTTTCAAAATAGTTTTCTGGGACATCTTTAAAATCTTAGAGAATGGGAAGAGGTAGGCCCCCAAGTTGAGATGGTGATACAATCTGCAAGCTGCTGACAAATGAGTTTGTTGCTGATCTCCATGATAAGATACTAAAATGGATCATTAAAGGAATAGTGTGGGAAGAAGTAAGGGTCAAGAGAGGCCAGTGTATGTTCAGACTGATCTCAAATTGCAAGATGGGTAGACATTAAGGATTGGGCTTTGGAAAGGAGACTTTGATAATAAATCATATGATATTTTTGTGGAAAAGATGGAGAAACATGGTCTAAATGATAGTTTATTTCAAACCATGTTTTCTATGTGGCTGAAGAATCCTATTTCTATTAGTATGCCAAAGGATTCTGACCTATGCAACATTTGTATCATCTTCAATGAAAATCTACAGCAGAGGCTGGTAAACCTTTTTCTGTCAAGAGCCTGGTGGTAAATATTTTTGACTTTGTGAGCCAAAGTCTCCATTGCCTAATTTTCTTTTTTATTTACCCATCATTAGAACATGCCTACAACTATTCTTAGGTCAAGGGAGCTAAATCGAGTGGTAAGGCAGATTTGCCCCATGGGTCACAGTTTGCTGATCCTGGTTTTATTATTTATTAAACTAGATGAGAGGAAAGAGAATACATATCTTGCTTGACAGATCAGTCTACAGGCTTGTCTTGAGTCACATGCCACTTTATACTGGAAGGGACCTTAACACCTAGAGATCATCTGATCAAAATTTAACCTATTCTCTGGACAAATGGGAATGGCCTGGGATTATGAGTTGGCAGAAATATGACAGAAAGAGATGCATGGCTTTATACTTAAAATCCTAAGCTCTCAAATATATGAGTACATGATAGGCACTTATGGTTTGATAGTCCTACTGGTGAGGTGGAATTCTGTAGGATCAGCACTAGACTGCTAACCACACCAAGTCAGTTCAGATCTACCAGCTGCTCCTCTGAAACATTATACAGGGTCTCTATGAATTGGAACTGACTCGATCACACACAACAATAATACTGTTGAAGAATGCCATTTTAGCAACAGTCAAGCAAGTATAGGTGAAGAGTGTGAATGATTTTAAATTCTGCTATCCAGAAAACGACACCACGATTTAATTTTTTTGCTCTCCACTATAGCGTAGTGGTTACGAATTGGGCTGCGAGCCGCAAGGTCAGCAGTTCGAAACTACGAGGCGCTCCACGGGAGAAAGATGAGGCGGTCTGCTGCCGTAAAGATTTACAGCCTTGGAAACCCTGTGTAGGGTCGCTATGAGTCGGAACCGACTCCACAGCACACAACAACAACAACAACCATATCAGTAGAGTCCTGGTGTAGCGCTGTGGGTTAATGAGCCAGACTGCAAAGCCGTTTGAACTGCAATGTCGCCGGCTCTAGCTCACCAGCTGCTCCTCGGAAACCCTATCTAGGGTTGATATGGGTCAGAACTGACTTGAGGGCACTTCAGAACAATAACAACCATATCAATAACAAGTGCTATGACAGGTGAGCAGTGCTGAAGAAATGAGAGGTACATAATCTGTAGGACCATGCCATAGGACTGTAGAAACTGCAAAGCACAGTAATGGGAAGAATGAGATGTTTTACTGTGTGTAAGTCTAGATGGGCCAGCAAGAGGTAGCTACTCAGACACAAGGATGAAATGTACTCATGTATTTAATTCTCCTTTTAGGTGAAAAAAATGAAACATTTATTTTGTTAAAAATCCATTTTTTCCCCACAAGCTATAGTCCAATATGTTAAGGGAGCCACTATTTAGGAAAGAATGCACTATATATAGTTATGACCAGATAAATAATGTGCTCCCAAATGGAAACTGGGAGCTCCATCCTTACATTGTGTTTAACTCTTCTTCCCTGAGTGTAATTTTGTCCTCCATAGACACATAAAGCTAAATATACTCATTTTCTAGAAGACAAATCTTAAAATACTCCAAGTATTTTAATCTTAAAATACTTAAATCTTTGCCGCTTCTGGAAAGAAACCGTTAATTTCTTCTAAAGCTCATTAAATATCACATATGCCATTGTTTTCAAACTCATCACATTTTATGAGAATAATTTAGAGTTTAAAAACAATTCTTTACCACATAGTTCCATGTGCATTTTTTTGTTGCTGTAAGCTGTTGAGTTGGTTCTGATACATAGATACCTGTATAGAATTTCTGAGACAGGCTGCCAGATTTTAACTGCCAATTTTGAGGTTACCAGTATAGTGGTTATCCTACAGTGCCACACAAGGGCTCGTATGCGCTTACTGAGGCAAAGTAAATTTTCTATCTATCTATCTACCATCTACCCATCTGTTTGTCTTCAGGAAAGCTACCTGAAAGATGTCCATATACTTTGCATAATTTATTCTAGTCAGAATCTTGGACTCTGGCAGGTCCAGGATGATAACTCAGGCCTTCTGAGTTTTATTTCATGCTTTCTTTCAACCCTGTGTTAAAGAGCATAGCACTACAAAAGGCTTACTTAGTGTGAAATGCATTCGCATTATAGTAGTAGAATTTTCAGCAGCACAAAATACAGGGTAAACTTGCTAAGTTCTCATTAATATAAATGATAAATGCTGTTAAGTTCTGTGGAGTTGGCTTCAACTGGAGGGTTTAAACCACTGACCTTGCACTTAGCAGTCCTGTGCTTATCCTATAGCGCTACACTAAGACTCCAAGAAATACAGAGAGGGTTACAAAATGTCAGCTATGAGAATATTGTCTCTAGCTTAAATGTTTTTGGTTCTTTACTACCTATTCTGTTATCTCAACCCACCCAGAAATTCTTAGTGAAAGTCTCTTAAGAGGTAATAACATTTACTGACTGTAAATTCAGAAGTACTAAGTTCATGCTGTACGAAAGTCCTTTCCACAGACCTGTATTTGAATTTGGTATCGTGGGCGTGCAATTCTCCTTTTCACATGTTCCCATCATTGAAGTTAACGTCATAGTAGGAACTTCATGACTACCTGAAAACATATAAAATAAAATGTGATATACAGACACATATGCAAATGACAAGAAATAAAATGGCATTTTATTGAAGAACACATATATGCATACATACACACATATAGGCATGCCACTATTACTCCAATTTTGACACCTGGCTATGTTTCTAAAGTCTTTTAGAAAGTTAGTTTGGAACTCTGAAGATATTTTGCCTATTGAAGCAATTTTATAAATAGAGAACAGGTTCATGGGCCAACCCACTAAAAGCCTCTTATGCCATTAAAGTGGCTGAGTGATATTAATAACACTTTAGATCTTAACCACCATTGGTAACAATGTTTTTAAAGTCAAATGCCTACAAGGTTCTCACTTGGGATGCAATGAACACATATTCCCCCATGGCATTTCCTGGGTGCAGAGCCACTAGTCCCTATGCCTGAGGTAGATGCTGTAGACAATGGTAGATGATCTAACAGCAAGGTAAGAGGGATCTAGAGAATAATGGTATAAACTGTCTCAGGGAACCTAGGAATTCTGGCCAAATCCCTATTAAGAACCTTTCTTTTCTTCCACAATCACCGGGGTCCATGTGATGGCAGACTGTACTTATCTTCTCCTTGGCCACCAATGAAGAAATAGATAGTGATAGTTTCCTTCCTACCAGCATAAAGCAAAGTCTTATAGGTTTTAAAAATTATTATTATTAATAACAAAGTCAAGAAGTTCCCCTCAAATCTGTTTTTCACACATAGCCATCAAGGAAAAGTCTGTAAGATTGGGGGATAAAGAGTATGCTCATTTTTATATGCAAAGGGCTGAAGTTATATTCAAGTACATTTCTGAGAAACACACACCAAGATTGCCAAGACTGTTGACTCTGTGAACTGAGATGAGGGTTGAAGTGACAAAAGGGAGCTAGACTATGAGAAAAAGAGTTGAGGAGATGGGTCAAGGTCAGGGTCAAGGCTGGACTTGCTGGCAGCATTAGAGCTGGAGCTGAGAGAGCTGGAACCCATTCTAGGAAAGGGAGGCCACAGATTTTACCTCCATCTGTCCCTGTATCCTGACAGGAGCATGCCAGAGGGAGAAGGTGGGATGCATTGCTGTCAGCACTGGCTTGGGTGGGTGGGTGTGGATGTCACAAGGTTATAAAGGGAAAGAAGTGGAATCAGAGCATGCTCTGGAAGCCGCTACTTTACTTAATACATATTTACTGAGGCGCCATGCTTGACTCTGAGTCTGGAGTTAGGCCTTGGAGAACCAACATCTAATACGAGGGCAGAGAGAGATATATCTGTTTAATTGGAAGGAGAAAGTGATGGACTCTCAGACTGCTGTACTACATTAGGAAAGAGATGACTAAATTCTAGCAGGGAGAAACGAAATATCTAAGCAAAAACTCAAGAGAACTTTTTGGAGAAGAACCCATCTAAAGAAATCATGGAATTTACACACAGGAAAATGAAGTTGAGAGAAATGGGAAATTCCAGATGCAAACTGTAAAGACACAAAGACCAGTACAAAGTCCCTAAGGCAAAGAGCCCTGAGCTGATGGCAGGCCAACAATTTCAAACCAAGCATCTCACAGCTGGCAATGATCCAACCCATGGTTTGAACCAATGGGAGATACTTTTCAATTTCTAAAGAAAATGTTATACTCATAACACAAAAATATTTGTTCCAAGATTCATATGTCAACAATTACTGCATACATTTTTACTTCAGAAACTATGATGCTTCAACTTTAGACTGGCCTTGTATTGAGTAACTCAATGTGATCTTGCCCAAAATCTACTAAATAAGTAAAAGTTATTTTTTTAGAGTAGACAGTCTATGACTCACAGATAATTTAGTAAAAGTGGAGTTTGGGTGTTATTTATAGATGCGTTTTCCTTCAAATATTTACACTTGCAAAACTCTGGGAACAGTAAAATTTACGGAAGCTCAAGCAAGGCAATAACGAAAGTATTTCCTGTTGCTAAGATTAAAGACTAATACTGTGGTATGAAATTCAGGAAAGTCTCAAATGTAATAATTTTCAGTCTAGGGACATGACATTTCTATACTGTTCCTTAAATATTTAGATTTAATAATGCCATCTGATTATCTCATATTCTAAAGGTACTACAATAGTGTATCAATTTAATAATGAAGAAATGTGGGTTAAGGGAAAGAAAGACTATCATATATAAAGCACCAGGCATTAAATCCTACTTCTAAATGTAAAGGCTTATGGAGAAAGCCATTTTGTAGTTTTCATTCACTACAACTCATAGGCAATGGGTTCATCAAAGAGAAACTATCAGCAAAATGTAGAACTATTATTTCTATAGAGCAATGCAGGGGGAGGGGAAGAGAATAATAAGGGAGTTTTTTTTGGAAAACAACAAAAGGTAGGGGAAAAAACAAACAAACAAAACACTAGAAAGCAAAATAAATAAATACAAACTAAAATGGAACAAATAAGCCAAACACCACAGGAATCACAGTGAATATGAATGGGTGGTGTGTAACCACTCAAACAACAAAAATAAAGAGCATAAAGAAAGTGTGACAACCCCACATTGGGTCCTTAATCACAAAACTTCAAGCACCTCCTCTCTGCTAAATTTCTTACTATCTGATGGTTTCCAAATCAAAGCATTTATCATTTTCAATCATCTGAGTATAATGCTAAACTGTGATTACACATGTGTGGAATGATGGTTCTAAATGCATAACATAACAGTGCTTGGTGTTCTCTAGGGGGAGACAGGCCATAAAGAGACAAGGAAAAGGAAGGAAAGGGTGCCTATGAGATGGAACCGACTCAATGGCACTTAAGGACAAACAATGACAGGTACTGATCTGGTGCTGTCAGATAAGCACTGAGCTGCTTACCGCAGGTCTGTCACTGAACAACAAACAACAACAACTCTGCACTGGTGTTGTGCTGTAGGATAAGCACTGGACTGCTTACTGCAAGGTCTGTGGTTCAAAGCCATCAGCTGCTCCTTGCTATGAGTCGGAACCAACTCAATGGCTCTTAATAACAACCCTGTACTGAAGTTGTTGACAGCCTTCTGAAACACAGCCAGCATTACTAAGATTTCTTATTGAGACCAAACTCAGATAGAATTCCTAGTACAAATGTTTCCCTACACACACTAACAGCTCATACACAGCCAGCGGGTATTTCACATTCATGAGTTCTTTGTAGTAAACACGATCATGTTTTCAAAGGAATGAAGGAAATGGTTCCCTGGTTTAGTTTTTGTCCATAATTCAGTTAACAAGCTACTCCCAAGTCTTATCAGCCATCAGAGAAAGCTCATTTAGTTGTAATAGCAATACCTGTAACAGGAGTTCTGGTTTTCAGCCTATCCACTTCCATAGTGAAGTCATCTTTCAAAAAAAGAAACCCGATAATGGAAAACAGGTAGACAAGGATGAGAGCCAGGACTGCAGTTAGAATAATGGAACGGCCATTCCGTGTGACACTTTTTATGACATTCAGCAGCGTCTCTTCTCTGTACACCAAATCAAACAGCTACAAAAATCAAGGAAAAAAGAAACACAAAAATGCAACAGAACAAAAGTTAAATAAGCATAAAGTTAATTCAAAATACAAAGAAAGCCATTCAAGTTGACCTGCAAACACACACACACACACACACACAAAACAACTGCCTAGATTACTGCCTTGAAAATGAACCGAAATACTTATCTTTTTCTCTAATACTATTTTTCTATAAAGATAAATCTAAACATATATACATCTGTTAGTTTCATAATTCTATAATCTCAATTTTGTAGGACATTATAAAAAAAGCATAGCTTCAAATTTGAATTTTAAAAGGTTGCAATATTGTACTTAAATATTTTAGCTATTTATTCCCTAATTTTAGTCCTATTGAAGTTGCTTCTGGAATATGTAAAATGGTTAACGTGAGAATGCTGAATTAAGTCCACTGGAGTGATGAATAGTTAGCAAATTCATTAAATGTACTGTTTTATATGTATCTCTCCTTAAGGTTAATTTTTTTCTCGTCTCATTAAAGCCTATGTGCTTATTTCATCAATGGATTAGAAGGGAAATTACAAAAACTATTTTATGATCCTGATGCAATAGAAAAGGTATGAAATTAAAAAAATATTTGAGAAATGAAAACATCTTCCCTTATACAAGCGGTATCTAATGACTCCACGGCACACAGCCACTACCACCAATGAGGGAAAACCCTATTACTTTAGTACCTAATTTTGGAAACAGACATATAAGCAAAGTAATAATACACGATTTTGCTAACTCACTTCCTCTAATGGAATACCAGTGTCCTGGTGCAGTGCTGTAGGACAAGCCCTGGACTGCCAACCTCAAAGTTACTGGTTCAAGCCCACCAGACATTCTTTGGAAACCTTATGAATTGGAACTGACTCCATGGCACTTAACAACACAGGGAGCACGGTGGGTCCATAGGATAAGCAATGGACTGCGAACTACAAGGTTAGCAGTTCAATCCCACCAGCTGCTCCATGGGTGAAAGAGGAGTCGTTCTGCTCCTTCAAATTTTTGTTTTTTTCAAGTCTTGGAAAACCTATACAGGGTCACTGTGAGTCAGAACCAACTCAACAGCACTTAGTAACAATAGTGTATCACTTACCCATTTTATTGTTAGTATTAAAACTTCTATGTACTAGTTAAGAACATAATCAACTAAAATAATGAAAAGTTTAATTGTTTCACTGTTTTATTGCTAGATCATAAAGCTGAAAGTATATATTAGCAAGTACATGTCTTATTATCAAAATCTTGCAAAAAAGCAATATATTGATTTTCACTTAGAAATAAGGTATAATGGTGCTGTGGGTTACTGCACTGGACTGCAAAGTAGGTTTTAAACTTTCAAACCCTATACAGGGTCACTATGAGTCAGAACTGACTCAATGGCACTTAAAAACAACAACAATCCTATTAATAATATTTTAACAAATGAAAATATACAGAATTTGTTTCTTGCTACTTGTGGCAACAATTAGAATTTCTAAACTGGCTCCAACAATCAAGTATCCCTGTCATTCATCAGTTCAGAAAAAAACACCAGGCACTTGGTTCTGTTTTTCTGAGTACTGTGGGTTATATGGATACTTTCAATTTCACTGTAGTCTTGCAGATAATTGTTGCTCAGATATCAACTTATTTACTTCACCTTAGGAAAAATAGATAAAAAATTGATGTTTAATCATTTTGATATTTCTCTTGGAAGGAGCAAGAACCTTTAGAAAAAAAGTCAATTTTCTTCAGTACACAAGACTTAACTAATTCAAATTGACCTTCCAAATGTTGATAGTGTTGTTTCTTTAACTTATTCCAGCATTTAGTTGACATAAATGAGATTTCCCTTTACTTTAAAACTCATTAGTGGCTTAAAGATAATGTCTGGTGGTGTGCTCTAGGTTAGCTCTGGATAAAGTGTATAGTTTTCAGAAATCTCTGGGATGCTAGCAAAAAAATATACATTTCTGAGTCTCATTCAATACCCATGAAATTCGAGTCTTTGGGAGGCAAAATGGGTTAACATTGGACAGATTAATGGCCTTTTTTGTTTACACCTGAGAGAAAAATCTAGAGTGTGTTTTATTGTTTTACATCATGGACTGACATCTGTGAGCACAAAGTGAAGGCATGTCCAACTATGCTTTTGTTGTTAGGAAGTGCTGTTGAGCCACTTCTGACTCATAGCAATCTTGTATTGGGTACCCAAGGAATGGCTTGTGAGTTTGAACCACTGACCTTGCTGTTCAAACTGACCTGAGGTCAAGCGCTTATCCTATGGTGCCAACTATTAAAACTATTTTTCAAATAGTTTAAATGTCATTTTCAATACTATGAACATTATAATTTCTAATACTCTAAACATAGAAATTGACTATATCCTTTTCCTAATCAACCCAATGTAAAGAAATTAGCGTTAGTATTATGAGATCTGAAAGATTAGAGATCAGAAAAAACGGCTAAAAAACAGAATTCACCAATAACTTCACATATTTTTCATATTATGTATTTAATGGATCTTGATATTACTAGCCTTCTTACTCCGTTTCTTCTTATTCTATATATGGGAGGTTTATGAGTTAAGCACATAAACGTTGTAGAGCATTACATATCACAATCAGGTATAAGGTAGGGTATGATAGGACTTTATATTTCATAGGCAGGTAAAAGAGTTGGCTTCTTTCTGGATGCAAAAAATTAATTAGCATTTTTAGGGTTTGGGGAAACTGCTTTTGACTGATGAATGATAAAACTTAACTGCCTTGACGATAAGTTTGTATCAAAGCATAATAGACAAATCCACCCTTCACTGGGACTATTTTATGTGTTTGAGGATCAATGGAAAATCAGCCTGTCTTCCGTCTTCCTACATGGGTGTGCTTAGTAACATGGAACCAGGAGGCACTGGGTTGGTCCCTCAAGATCCAAACAAATTGGGTAAACATAAAATATTTAGTTCTGAAACTTCTTTTCAGTAATCATCTTACTGGTTAGTATTCTCCAAAGCATGTCAACTATTTTTGTTGTTATCAAGTGCTGTCGAGTCAGTTCTAACTCATAGCAACCCTGTATAGGGTTTCTGAGGAGCAGCTGGTGGATTTGAATGCCAAACTTGTAGTTCAAACCAACCTTGTGGTCAAGTGTTTATCCGACAGCACTAAACTATAGGCTGGAAATATGAATAAATTATTCCTATGGTGTCATGATGGTAAGATACTAGCACTTTAAGTTTCAAAACATTATTGTATATTTGTATTGACTTCTCTACCAGTTTATGGCTATAAAACATGTGTACATGTATGAAGGAAAATTAATAATCAACAAAATACCCTAAAATAAATCTGAAAAACCCAGTTAATTAAAGGTATATACAGGTATATTTAACAACAATAGCATATTACACTGTTGTGAGGTTACACTGAGTCAGTTCTGATTCTCAGTGCCCCTGTGTACAACAGTACTAAACACCGCCTGGTCTGGCACCATCTTCACAATTGTTGCCCATTGTAGCAGCCACTGTGTTAATTCATTTGAAGGAGGGGCTTATATTACTGTTCTTGTCTCTTTCTTAAGTTGTCAGTTAGTTATCCCCTGGCCTCTGTGCTATGAATATACTGTTCTAAAGATACACATGATGCATGGCATTATACACAAAATGCAATCATTTCAGTATTCATAGGAGTGTCCCCTCACACCTTTTTTTTTTAATTCCACACTGTTGGAGAATCTCTAAGTATAAACTGAAGTATGATTCGGCAGAATCCGAAAACAGGTTGTGTCAAGAGGTGGGGTGGTTGGTTGCTTCTCAAAAAGGATATAAAGAATTCCGCCACTTACGTGATGTGTCAGAGAAATACTAAAAATAATAGCAATTCATGTTTTCCCTCAGAAATCCTATAAATAACATCTTTTGTCCTAAATGCCAGGCCCCACTTAAAAAAAAAAAAAAATCAAAAGATAAAGCATAAGGATAAGTATTGTATGTTTTTACAGTAGAGATTCTCTGTTTAGAGGTGTACTCACCAGGAAGCTATAGAAGAATTCATGGACAAAGAGGCCCAGCATGCAAACCAGGACATAAACCACATGGTAGAGAAAGGCCATATCCAGGATGACTGCTCGGTACCCTCGTGTGAATGTGCCACGGTTTCCAACAAAACTCACCAGAAATACTATTTTATTGCAAAGCTGAAAAGAGGAAGAGGTTAGATTTATGCTTTATTTATTTGGAATCACACATAAATAGCAGGGCATTGGCAAAACCTAGTATCACAAAGGTTGTGATTTTCCTTCATGATTTATCATTTTGTAATTCTGCAACATTGTTTGGCACAAATAGGCATGTAAACGTATACATGCAAAAGTTGTATCATTTGAAGTTCCAAGAAAAGAGAGGAAAATGATTCAGAACCCAACTCTGCAATCAAGACAAACATGGATTTAAATCCACTCTGCCTCTCACTGTTGAGTGGCCTAGATCAAGTGTATATCACAATTGTTTCTTCTGAAAAAATTGGAACGAAAGAATTTCCACCTCATAGAATTCTTTGGAGGATTGAATGGCACAATATATATGAAACACTTAGGAGATAATATATATGAGTCAATCTCTAAATTTGCTACTTTTAATTATTTTTCCATATTATAGGAAATATTCTAAATATTTTTATTTCACTGGAAATATAACAAAACAAATCATTTAGCTAACTTCTGGTATCTTTCCTTTATTTCCCAAGCCTCCTGAACTTTCTGTTGTTGTTGTTGTTGTTAAGTGCCATCGAGTCGGGTCCGACCCATAGCGACCCTGTACAGGGTTTCCGAGGGTGTAAATCTTTACGGGAGTAGAAAGCCTCATCTTTCTCCCGCGGAGCGGCTGGTAGTTTCGAACCGCTGACCCTAAGGTTCGCAGCCCGATTCGTAACCACTACGCTACCAGAGCTCCTTTCTGTACTGAGTATTATTTTAATCAAATTTGCCATAAAAATTCTTTTTGAATTTATGTACATAGAAAACATATGTATGTTAATATACAAAGATTAAAACATAATCTATGTAAATATATTTTCTAAACTGTATAGATTATATTCAAACTATATTTTAAATTATTTTGGCCCCTTAATTTTGGGATATAAACATTGATACTGATATTCTTTGACAAAAACAATGATCTACACAGTGATTTGCAAAGAACAACATCATTGTGATAGTTAAGGCTTTGTGTCAACTTGACTGGCCAGGATTCTCAGTGGTTTGACAAATAATAAGTAGTAATTCCATGATGAGATCTGCTATATACAGCCAATCAATTCAAAGGAAGTTTCCTCTGGGTGTGACCTGCTTCCAACATATTGAACACTCGTGCAAAGTTTTTTTTCTACTGGGTCTAAATCCTGCATCTGGCTTATCACCCAGTCTCTGATTCTTTGAATTTAAGCTAGGAGCCTGCTATATCGCCTCTGCAAATCCTGGGAGTCCTCAGCAACCTGCCATCTTACCTGCCCAACTTGTCTACCTGCTGTCTGATCTGCTGATGTTTATTCATCAGTCCTGCAGCTAGTTATAGGAATTTTACAGTTTCAGAAGTCCCCAGTCTGACATCTGACCAAAGGACTTGAGATTTTCCCATGTTTACAACTATGTGAGATATTTCCTAACATGACCTTCTCTTTATATATGTATAAATATAAGTTTCACTGGTTTTACTTTTCCAGAGAACCCAACCTAAGACAATTATCATAAACTTGATGTCATCTACTTGGTTGGCATCCCTAAATAGAATCCCTGTACTATTTGCAAACTGAAGAGTCAATTATGCCTCTTCATCATCAAGGAAAGCAATGCAGATATGAAAGAGAAAGAATTACAGGTTATTTTTCATAGTTTCCTCTTCCAAATTGGTCCCTGAGTTCTTTACATTATCTAATGGCTCCATATTTGTCTTTCTATGTCTAAACCTATTTTGGATAAAAAAGGTTGTTCCTTACAACACTTGATTTAAAAAAAAATTATTAAGGAAATTACCTTATATAAAATCATACTTCAGTATTTAGTGTTTCATTATTACTTGTTGATGCTATTTTTAAACATTGTTGCAGTATAACAGATGTCTATATTTACTGTTTAAGAGTAGGTTTACTATATAAGAAATTATTATTGAAAATAGGTAATATATGTAAGGTGCAGATATCGGGTGGAATTAGACAAAAAGCACCCATGAAAATGACAAAAAAGAAAATGTCTGAGTGAAGTAATATTTAGTAGTTAACTCTTTATATTGCTTTCAGTTGTTATTAAATTCACATTATTTATTCAGGTTAAAACACTAAAATCCATATGAAATCATGACTTTTGACAGAATGAATGAAATGTTTAAGATTATAAATTGTTTATATGCTGCTTCTTAATTTTTACTTCCCTAAATGAAATCACAAAAATTATACAGGGAAATTATTGGTAACTTAACAACAACAAAATCCTTGATGAAAAACAATACACTGAATTGAAACTCTCCAAAAGAACAATATATTTTAGTTCCCAAAGAATGCAAACATAGATATTTGTCTAAAAAACCGTCTGACATTTTCATAAGAAAAAGAAAGATTTGCCTTATTTATTTTCAGGTATTTGGTTGCTTTAAATTTTCTTTCTTTCTTTTTTTTTTTTTTAACCTTGATGGGTATGTTTCTCCTTTTTTAACCAAGTCTCAAAGGGCATGGAACACAGTTGATATTGTGGTTCTATATCACTTTCCATAGATCATCAACAAGAAAATTGTTGTCTATTGTTTAGAATCATTCATACCAAAGAGAAGTAAATGCAAGTCTAAATGATGTGGTAGGAAAGAGGTTGAAATCTGGTTCCTCTTGCAACATGATCTCAAAATTTAAAAATTGTTTTTCATATCATTTTCCATACCATCTGAGAATATTCATGCATAGAATAAAGAAGTTGCAAAAAAAATTCTCCCTTTTTAATGCTTTTCATTTTGTGTTTCGACTCGACGGCACTTAACAACAACAACAACAACAACAATGCTAAAAATCCCTGGTCAAGCAGTGGCTAAGTACTCTGCTGCTAACCAAGGGGTTGGCTGTTTGAACCCACCGTGGCTCTGAGAAGAAACTAACACTCTACTTCCATAAAGTTTATAGTCAAGAAAACCCTATGGGGCAGTTCAACACTGTCACATGGGGTACTATGGGTTAGAACCAACTTGATAGCACCTAGAACAACAGCCTGTCCTTTTTCTGTCAGTAAGATCATGTGGGCAATCATAGATTGTATGGCAAAAATCTATGTGGGCAATAATGAAAGGACTTGATGGGAGTTGGGTTGAAGCCCTGGTGGCGCAATGGTTACAACCTAGGCTGCTAACTGAAAGGTCAATGGTTCTAATCCAGAGGTTTGAACCCACCAGCCATTCTGTGGGAAAAAAGATGTGGCAGTCTGCTTACATAAAGATAAGTCTTAGAAACCCTAGGGAGCAGTTCTAGAGGGTCAACGTGAGTTGAATCAACTCAGCAGCGCTGGCGTTAACCATATGCCCTAGATAATTAACACATTGCCATGGAGTTAATTCTAACTCATAGATACCCTCTTGGACATTGTAGAATTTCTTCACAGGCTTTCCAAGGCTGTAATCTTTACAGAGGAGGTCTTGGCGGTACAGTGGTTAAAGCACTGGACTGCCAACTGAAAGGTTAGCAGTTCAACCCCATGAGCTACTTTGTGGGAGAAAGATGTGGCAGTGGGCTTTAGTAAAGATTTATAGTGTTGGGATCCCTATGAGGCCACAGCTTTCTCCTGAGACCGATGGATCTTTCAGTTAGTTGCCATGTCCTTGACCATCACACACCAAGGCTCCTCTAGGAGCTAGGCTAAGGACCCTAGGGTTAGAACACAAATACTAATCGGTAGACATGTGTATAGCTGTTTTAAATGGTTTCCATAAAGGCTTTCTGCTCCTGCAAAGATTTGCAGCCTCAGAAACTCTATACAGGGGTCGTGAAGGGTTGGATCCAACTAGATGGCACCAAACAACAACAGCCTACTTTTTAAAAAACTGCCCTAGACATAATTTTTCATTGTTGGGGTGGGAGAAACAGGGTAAAGTATGTGGAGGGAGGTTAAAATGTGGATGGAAACAGCAGCATTATAAACTTTCAGGGCAAGGTTTCAAAATCATCTATACTATTTACCAGTAGGTGTTCTATTAAAGGAAGCAGAACTAATGTTTATTTGTCAGTTTTTGTATCTAAAAGCAACTCCATTGATTTAAATAAGGTGAATTAATTATATAGCACATTAATATTTTCATGTATATATGTATATTGTTCACTGTATGTATATTGTTCACATTGTTTTCATATATATATGTATATGTATACTGTTCACTGGACTATAATATATACATATGTAATATATATATGTGTGTGTTATATATATATATATATATATATATATATATATATATAATAGTCCAGCAAACAGTGCAATTCCGTGGAATGAGACTGGACTAGGATAGGCTATTTGGGCGCTGCCACAATTCTTTAGTTATGTTGGTCATCCTCCTGATCCTTGCAGAACCTAGTTTCTTCATATATCAGTGATATGACTAGAAGTGAATATCCTTAAAGTACCCCATAGCTTTAGAATTCTATGCAATGCTCTTTACACTTTATTATTTTTAGTGATCACAGAAAGGTATAGCCGCTAGGTCTTTGCCTTTATATTATTTGTTTGGTCTTTTTTGATGCTATGTTCCTGATCAAGAATTCTATCCTCATCTTACATTGTTCCTATGGGAAAACCTGACCTATTTTCCAGGAGTAGAATGTAGCAAAACTAACAAACAAAAAACTCTGCCTACTTAGTTATTGAAAGGTAAGTTGAATTTATTAATTGCCTTGAACTGCATTTTAACTCCACCATATTTTAATCAACCATGTAAATTACCTTCTTACTAAAAATGAGATGATTTGATTTAAAAATCTTCATTTCAGTAGCATTACATTTTAGGTAGGTTTAGGTTTTAATGTCAGTGGATAATGTGATATTTGCATGCAGTCAAAACCACCCTGAAAAAAATTTTAAATTGCCTACAAAACAGTACAGCAAAATGGGTGGTGCAAACTATAGCATCTCTCACTAGAGCCAACTATGCAATTTCCTCCTGGGTTGGAGCAGTT